ACCTAAAAACTTCTTACATTGTTGCAGGGATGTTTTGGGTGCACCTTCAGACATTGAAGTGACAGTGTTTCATCAAAGGTCCTCACAATGGATGAGTCAACAGAGGTTCGAACAGATGGCAATTCCCTGTTGAAGGCTGTATATTTATGCCGGCTACGTCTGACTCGGCTGCTCCTGGAAGGAGGAGCCTACATTAATGAGAGTAATGAGAATGGTGAGACACCACTTATGGTAGCCTGCAAGACACGCTATACAGATTCACAGAGTGTACCCCAGCACAAGATGGTCCGGTAAGTTTTATACATTTTTGTTGAGCATTAGTATCTTCTAGATAATTGATAAAATAAATGTACCCTTTACTTTACCTTACTTTACTTTTACTACAAGGTATCTTCTTGAAAATGGTGCCGATCCAAACATCCAAGACAAGACTGGGAAAACGGCTCTAATGCATGCATGTCTTCAACAAATGGGAGCTGAAATTCTGTCACTTCTTCTTAGCAGCGGAGCTGATCCAACCCTGGAGGATCATGGAGGTTTATCTGCGTTAGTTTATGCAGTTAATTCTGGTAACAGGGACATTCTTAGTGTACTCTTAGATGCCTGTAAAGCCAAGGGTAAGGAAGTTATCATCATCACTACCAACAAACTGCCATCTGGCCATCAGGTGACAAAGCAGTACCTTAATGTTCCTCCATCTCCTGAAGTTGAAGAGAGTCTGCATTACTTACCAGCATCTTGCTGCATGTCACCATATGAGGTCCAGCTACGAACTCCTCCTCAGGGCTCTTCAGCAACAACCTCTCCTCAACCTGGCAGCCCCCTTCAAAGCCTCAAGGATCCCCAGTGTTTAGGCTTAGGGCATGGCCTGATCAGATTTCAACCAGGTTCACCAATGCAACATCGAAGTCCTCTACGTGTTCCCGATGTGGATAAGCGACCTAACTTCCATCAGCTACACTCAGAAGCCTGGTCCAAAAGTCCTTCCCTGTTGCTCCAGCAGAGTCAGGCGTCCTCTCTGACTGAGCAACCAGTGAAAATTACTCCGGAGGAGGTGCTGTCTTTCAGAGTCGAAGAACATCCTCCTGCTATTTCACGGCACCAGAGCATTGATGTCAAAGATGCAAAAGGACTTGTGAAAGCATTAGAGATCTTATCAGGAAATGACAACAGGGGAGGTGGTGGAAAAAAAGGCTTTGGCAGAAAGATGTCATATGACAGTGCTGCAAGTTCATTATATTCTGTTTCACACCCAAACTTGCTTCAAGATAGTCTTGCCTTTTCCCATGAATCCAGACCTGCAGA